GGCAATGAGTCGGCCTCGGTGGGTTTAGGGTTTAGGGTTTAGGGTTTAGGGTTTAGGGTTTAGGGTTTGGGGTTTAGGGTTTAGGGTTTAGGGTTTAGTAAGCGGTTCCAACTGTCTCCGGGCTTTCCGGGCTTTTCGGGCTGTAGGGGTTTAGGGCTTAGGGCTTATGGAGCTTGGGGCTTTGGGTCCAGGGTTTAGGGCTTAGGGCTTAGGGATTCGGAAGTAGGGCTCCCAGAGACTCCAATACCCCTTAATTAAGGAATATACCTTAAATTATAGTAGGATCCCTAATATGATTTAAGGTATATTCCTGCATTAATTAAGGGGTTTCGGATGTAGGGCTCAGGGATTCGGAACCCTAGACCCTAAACCCTAAACCCTAAACCGTAGGGCTCAGGGGCTTCAGGTTTAGAGCATTGGATCGAAGATTCCGGCGCTCTAAAGGCTGCTGAAGAAAGGAATTGATGGCTTGGGTTTAGGGTTTAGGGTTTAGGGTTCAGGGTTTAGGGTTTAGGGTTTAGGGTTTAGGGTTTAGGGTTTAGGGTTTGCCGGGAGCTCATCACTTTGGTTGACGACTGCGCCCGACCCTAGACCCTAAACCCTAAACCCTAGACCCTAAACCCTAAATCCTTACCCTAAGCCCTAAACCCGAGACCCTAAGCTCTAAACCCTGAACCCTAAACCCTAAACCCCCAGCCCTAAACCCTAAACCCCAAGCCCAAAACCCTAAACCCAAAGACCTAAACCTTAGGGGTACTTAGAAACACTTTTTAATCTTTGGCTACTATAAACCCTAAGAAGTAGCTAAAATTATAATTTTTGCTAGGGGTCTAAGTTCAGTATAGAAACCCCAAAAGCGACGAGGTCGGTAAGCAGTGCGATGTGACCGAAGACTACGAGTTCAAAGCCGGACGGCTGGCCTCCCGCTCAAATTTCCTAAAGCTTTGGAGTTTAGGGCTTAGGAGTTTGGGGTTTAGGGTTTAGGAGTTTAGGGGTTTAGGGTTTAGGGTTTAGGAGTGTAGGGGTTTAGGGTTTAGGGTTTAGGGTTTAGGGTTTAGGGTTTTTGGGTTCAGGGCTGTAGGGTGTAGGGCTTCGGGCTTAGGGCTTAGGAGTTCAGGGTTTAGGGAGTAGGGGAGTCTTACTGCATCGCGAGCTTCGATGACAAGCAGGGCGTGTAGCAATGCCAAGAATTAAGATTACTATCACAAGAAGACTTATGGTGATAGTAATAGTAAGAATGATCTTAATCGTAGTATCAACTATTCTGGATGCAGAATTTTTTGATACTAGTAATTCGTCTTTCGGGTTCCATTACAACTACTATGGTCTAATGTGCACCATTCTACTTATTGCGGCCACGATCTGATCCTAAACCCTAAACTCTGTTTCATAATGGTCATGGTGACAAGAGAAAAAGAAATCGTAGGGCTCAGCGACTAGCGCAAGCCACGGCTGGCCCGCAGGGCACGTAGCCTTGCGGTGCTCGGCGGTTAAGGCTGAGGGTCTAGGGCTTAGGGATTTAGGAGTGTAGGGTCCATGGGGTTAAGGGGTTTAGTGTTGAGGGTTCAGGCATGGTGCGCAGTGGCTTTCCTAAGTCGCCGGTTCGCGCTTTGCTGTTTTGTTGAGAAATCGCCGTCATGGTATATAAGGGCAGCAGACATTGTAGTACTCAGTAGCAAGAACGGCAACCCCAGTTCCCAAATCTTGAGGCCTAAACCCTAGCCCCATTATCGTATGATACGGTTGATGGACAAAATACCTAAAGTATGGGATTTATGGTACTATTCTATATTTGGGTCATGCAGGATTTTGTCCATCAACAGTATGATAGTAGAACATAGTAGGACCAATGGCAAAGATTGAGTGCTGCCCTGCTCAGCACGTGGTGGGACCAAACGTCGGGAGCACCACCTACGCTCTGGTCCGATGCCAAGATCTTACGGGTAATTAGAAATAGGTCCTATAACCCCAAACCCTAAACCCCTAAACCCTAAACCCCTAAACCCCTAAACCCTAAACCCTAAACCCTAAACCCAAAGCCCCGATAATTTGGGTCACTGTAATCCCTAAGACACAGCTAAAGTTGGAGTTTTTGCTAGGGTCCCAAGGTCAGTATAGAAGATCTTACCCACGGCAAGACTCCGGGGTCGGGTGTTTGGTGCTTGCTTGAAGCGTAAACCTTGAATCCCAGAGTTTACCACACCCTCAACCCTAAACCCTAAACCCTCAACCCTAAACCCTAAAACCCTAAACCTTCAACCCTAAACTAAACCCTAAACCTTCAACCCTAAACCCCTACACCCTAAATCCTAGGCGATGAGGGTCCAGGCCTTTTGGGTGTAATATATAGGGGCCTCATCAATTGCCTATATTATTTTTTTGGGGGTTCCTTCTTATAAGTGTACTATACAGGAGCCCAAAACCCTTTTCTAATTATTAAGGCCCCTAAACCCTAAACCCTAAACACTTTTCTAATTATTAAGGCCCCTATATTCATGGTTCAGGGCTGAAGAACCAGAGTTTGGGCTTCTGGGTTGCAAGAGCTGGTCCCCGAAAGGGGCCACTTTCGCCAGGACGTTCTAAAGAAGGAGTGCCATATGGGGGCCTTGATAAATAGAAGATGGTTTTAGGTGTGTATATATATATATACACATTATACTATGACTATAACTATAATCAGGAACCCCCCCCCCAAAAAAATAGTAATTATTGATAATTATTTAGGCCCCTGTAGTGTGTTGGGTCTTGCGGCTCTGCACAGGCTTTTTCGGCATTCTTGCGACGCCAGTCCGGTCGTAACTGCCCACACGCCTCTACAGTCGCAGAACCTAAACCTTAGACCGTTTCTACTACCCTAAACAGTAAACACCCGCAAGCCCCAAACCCGTAGTGAAGAAGCAGGGGGGGGGGGNNAAAGCCCAAATCCATTGGAGGAGGCGAAATTTCAGCGCAGGACCCTGGGGCTCATTTTCGGGTTCACACAAAGGGACCGCGATGGTCATTTGCGGGGGGTGGGGGTCACTGGAGAGGGGATTAGAGGTGGGGTCTAGAGGAAGTCCGAATAGGAACCTCTGACCACTTCGGCCGGGGGCCGAGGCGAATTGTTAAAATCCTTCATTACATGGCTTCCTTGTTTAGGTTTAGGGTTTAGGGTTTAGGGTTTAGGGTTTAGGGTTTAGGGTTTAGGGTTTAGGGTTTAGGGTTTAGGGTTTGGGGTTTGGGGTTTGGGGCATTTATTGTTCAGGCCTGCGGTGCTACTCGTGGCATCAGGCCGGCGTCCCCTTTGACATCGCTCTCTTTGGCGCAGCTTTCCGGCTCACCGATCGAATCCGCCGTCTGCTCAGACCGTTTCATGGTATAAGCTACTATAAGGGTATAATGTAGGGGGCCTTAATGATTAGAGGGGCATATTATACTATAACTACAGTAAGTAGAGTCGGGTTTTGGGGGTATAGTACACTATATAATTACAAAAAGCAGAACAGGGTTTTGGGTTATATTATACTATCGCTGCAATAAGGAACCATGTCTTCAGGAGTGTTCGGGAGTTAGGACTTCATTTTTTTTGTTGTTTAGGGTTGGGGGTCTCGAAGGAGCTTCGGGTTCAGGGTTTAGGGTTTAGGGTTTAGGGTTCAAGGTTTCGGGCTTTATTGGAGGTTTGGGCTTCAGGGTTTTATTTTCTGGCTGAGGGTTTATATTATACTCACAAATGAGTTTCTGTACTTTGGTTTTCGAGGGTGTAATTATAGGGACAAGAGAGCCGTAAGCAAGGAGGGACATAGGATCCTTTCATCGCCCCTACGGAGGGGTGATGTTCCGACCCTATAAAGGGACCCCAAGTGAGAGCAGCTCCCATATAAGTAAGACCATCCATGCATGCCATGTGTCCTTAGGTTCCACGTGAGGCTCATAATTAGGTTTGTACTGCTACAGCTACGGATGTTGATTGAATGAAGGGGTGTGCATCTACCTACTATAGAGCCGACAGAAGCTTAGATTTCCATAGTGCCACGGATAGAACCTACAACCCTAAACCCTAAGACCCTAAACCCTAAACCCTAAACCCAAACCCTAAACCAAACCTTAAACTTAAACGCCCTGACCTCAAACCCTGCAGTCCTAGACCCTAAGACCCTAAATCCTAAACCCTAGACTGCGCCATAAAGGCTTGACTTAGAGAACTGAGGAGTCTGCTTTGCACTGGCTTCCGTGCAGCCGTTTGCCTCAAGCTCCAAGCCCTCCGATCCCACAACCGCCGAGTACCACCATGGCAGGTCTCGGCAACCTGGTCCGCGCCCAAGCGGAACCGAACCGGCCAGTTGGCCACAGTTCGAAGGCCACTTCGAGGCGGAGGAGGCACGGGTGGAGGAAGGGAAAGCTGCCCGCAAGACTAAGGCCAAGGCCAAGGTCTGGCCCAAGAGGACTCCGGAGAAGAAGAAGCGGCAGCGGGCCAAGCGGGCAGTGAAGTGGCCGGCGGAGGTGGTGGCAAAGAAGCAGGAGGAGGCGCGGAAGAGGCGCGAGGCCAGGGACGCCGAGACGAAGGAGGAAAGGAAGACCCGCCTGGCGGCCATGAACCCCTATGAGAAGGCGGCGGTGCAAGAGGGGAAGGCGGCGGCCAGAGAAGAGGTGGCACGAAGCGGCTGGGGAGGAGCCTTAAAAAGAACCCTCTTAGGACACCTAAACCCTAAACCCCAAACCCTAAGCCCTTATAGAACCATGGTTTGAGGATCCTAAACGAAGCTGGACCCTGAACCCCTAAAGCCCCAAAACCTAACCCCCCCACACCTAGAGGAGCATTTTAAACGGAGCCCGAAATTTAAATCCCACATACTAGACCCTCAACCGTAAACCCTAATTCCCAAAACCTAGACCCGAGCTTTTTCAGCGCAGCCCAAAACTTCAATCCTTCCGAGGCTTGATCCTGCGAAACCAGACTTGTGGTGCTGGAGGCGCGCCTGCGGAGAGGGTTTAGGGTTTAGGATTTAGGATTTAGGGTTGAGGGTTTAGGATTTAGGGATTAGGGTTTAGGATTTAGGGTGTAGGGTTTACGGCGTACATTCAGCTACCAAAACCTACTTTGTTCTAGGTTCTTATTGCAAGCGCTGGACCACAATTTACAAGGGGGCCCTACCAACAAAAAATTAGGTTTTGGTAGATTAAGGTAGGGTTGAGATTTCAGAAAATTAGTTTAGGGTTTAGGGTTTAGGGGTTCAGGGTTGTAGATTTCAGCTTTAAGGTGTATGGTTTAAGGCTTTAGGAGTTTAGGTTTTGGGCTTAAGGCTCGGAGCAGGGCCTAGGGTTTGGGGTTTAGGAGTTTAGGGTTTAGGGTTTAGGGGTTAGGGGTTTAGGAGTTTAGGGTTTAGGGGTTAGGGGTTAGGGCTTTGGGGTTTAGGAGTTTAGGGTTTAGGGTTTAGGGTTTAGGGGCTTAGGGGCTTAGGAGTTTGAGGTTTAGGGGTTAGGGGCTTAGGGGTTTAGGAGTTGAGGGTTCAGGGTTTAGGGGTTAGGGGTTAGGGGTTAGGGGTTTAGGGTTTTAGGGTTGGGGTTTTCTGAGGGGGTCTAGGGTTTAGGATCTGGAGTTTAGGAGTTTATCACGTTAAGAATTTGCCCGTTTCAAGGTCGAGGTTTCAGGCGTTGGTGTTCTGGGCTTGGGGAGTTTGTGGTCACGTTTTAGGTGAGATTGCAGCCTGTCAAAGTGGTGAATTTAGGGATCTAAGGGGGTTTGCGAGGTGTGCACACCCAAGGGGTCCTCTGTACTGCCTCAACCATAATAGTGTTAATAGTGCTTCCAAATAAAGAAAGCCTACATTCTACAATGTAGGTACATAGGACCCGTTGGGTTTAGGGAGTATCTGGCTTGCAAGTTTGGGGGCCAGGGCATTTCAGGGAACTTCAACCATACAACCCCCAAACCCTCAACGACCGCAATGGAACCCTTTAACCTTCTCGAGGTACTACAATCCCTATAGACACCCCAATATACTCCCCAAGCCTAACCTAGAAGACCCAAGGTCTAGAACATTTTCAGGTGGATAGTTACCGTTACAGGAGCTTTGTAGAAGGTCTATATACCTTATAGAAGCCTTATAGAAGCCCTAGAAACCCTAAACTCCCCACCTGTAGTTTCCTTAAACCCGAAACCCTAAACCCTAAACCCTAAACCCCAAACCCCAAACCCTAAACCCTGAAACCCTAAACCCTCTGGATAATTAGGAAACCGCCTTGGTCCCCCAACTTCAACCCGGGGTCCTTCCTGTCTCGGAGGCTCCACGCCGGTGAACGACGTCCTACCCTTTCTGTCTGCCTGTCGCGGCTTATGAGCACAGCACTACGGGCCTGGAAGTCTGGTCTAAGCTACCCTCGGCTTCCCATAGGCCCCATAGTAGTTCCTTCTTGGGGTCTCATATTTAGAATCCTAAAAGGTAGTCCCAAAAAGGAACTACTACAGGGCCTATGGGTACCCTAAGCCCTTTAGGGTTTAGGGTTAAGGGTTTCGGGTTCAGGGCCTAAACCCTAAACCTTAAACCCTAAACCCTAAACCCTCAACCCTAAACCCTGAACCCTAACCCTAAACCCGAAGCTTCAGACGAAGTTACTATGAATTGTCATGAATTGTCGGTGTTGTCAGGTTCTTCTTTTTTTAATGTCATAGGTCTGTTCATGACATGTAGTCAGTTATACCTGACGGCATGAATGCATAACGGAATCCGTTGACGTTTAAGTGAGAAACTCACTGTTGAACTGTTCAATGAAAGCATAGTCAACAAAATATATAGTACAGTGTAAAGGCTTAAGGAAAGTTGATAACTCAAAACTTGTGGTGTAAAGGTGGCGAAATTGTTTCTTAATGCTATCGGATTCTGTTGGTGGGTGGGTATTACATCAAAGCCGTACCTAGAACTCTACTGTAACACTTCACAGACCGGAGCTGCTGAATCCTAAACCCGAAACTAAAGCCCAAACCCTAATTCCAAAACACCCTAAACCCTAAACCAAACCACCCTAAACCCTAAACCCCTAAACATTAAACCCACCTCAAAATACAAACAAAACTAAACCCTAAACCCCAAATCAAGCCCTAAACCCCAAGCCCTCAACCCTAAACCCTAAACGCCAGACCCAAAACCCCAAGCCCTAAACCCTAAACGCCAGACCCAAAACCCCAAGCCCTCAACCCTAAACCCTAAACGCCAGACCCAAAACCCCAAGCCCTCCACCCTAAACCCTGTGACGCCAGGCGCATACCTGGGAACATCTCACGCGCTGGGATGGGTCCATGGGACGAAGGATCCGAGAGCTACCAGGCGAAACGCCGGCGGTTTCTTTTGGGTTTCGGCTTTTAGGGGTTTTCGGGTTTAGGGTTTAGGGTTAAGGGTTGAGGGTTGAGGGTATAAGATTTATAGGGCTTGGGGTTTAGGATTTAAGGTTTGTTTTAGGGTTTAGGGCTTAAGGTTTAGAGTATAAGATTTAGGGTTTAGGCTTTAAGGTTTAGGGTATAAGATTTAGGGTTTAGGGTTTAAAAGGTTTAGGGTATAAGTTTTAGGGTTTAGGGAAACAAGGTTTAGGGTACAAGATTTTAGGGTTTAGGGTTTAAAAGGTCTAGGGTATGAGAATTTAGGGTTTAGGGTTTGAAAGGTTAAGGGTATAAGATTTTGGGTTTAGGGTTTAAAAAGTGTAGGGTTTAGGGAGTCTGGGCTCTGCGGTACCATGCTTGAATACTTTTTTAGTACCCGTTCTTTTCAAAGGAACCTTTTGGAACTAACCGTCGTGTCGTTTTTTCCTTGGTTTCTTCAAAGTCCACGAGTTCTCACCCTAAACCCCTAAACCCTAAACCATCAACCCTAAACCAAAAGAATTGTGCTTTTTTGCAGCTGCAAAGGGTTTAGGGAGTAGGGTTCAAGTTTCCTGGCATGTTCTGGTGTCGGATCGAGGGTTCAGGGTTCAGGGTTTGGGGTTTTAGGGTTTACCTTAACCTGAAATAGCCTACCTTTTTAAGGACCTGTATAAGGAAACCATATTAAGAAACCCTAAAAAGGTAGGTTCTTCAGGGTTTAGGGTTTTAGGGTTGAGGATTCAGGCGGGGTTGGTTGAAGTTTTCACCGACTTCGGGTTGGCATCAGTTCAAAGATCTGCCGTAGTCGTACCCAGATGTCCACGACTGAGGTGTGGCGCAGCGTCGCTGTGGATAAGGCAAGGCATGTGCATTGTTTGCAGGGTTTTCAATTTATCCTTCAGGGGTTTAGGGTTTGCAGGGTTCAGGGTACCCTAAACCCTAAACCCTAAAACCGCCCTAAACCCTAAACCCTCAACCCTGAGCGGCCCTAAACCCTAAACCCAAAAAAACCGCCCTAAACTGTAAACCCTAAACCCAGCCAAGATGGACTAGGCTGCCCCCGGCACTCGACTGGTCCCATAGTCTCAGTGTGACAAGGATCCGGGCAGGTCCTTCTGGGGCATGAGGGGATGCATTGGGGTTGAGGTTTGAGGGTTGGAGTTTTGGGTTGAGGGTTTGGGTTCCAGGTCCAGCCCCGAAGCCCTTATAGAACCCTTATAGATTCCCTTTTTGGAACCCCTCTGACTCATTCGGGGATTTTGGGAAGATCTGGGCATTAACCCTAAACCCCTAAACCCTAAACCTTAAAGCCTAAAGCCCTAAAGCCCTAAACCCCCTGCAGTATGCCGGCGGCTTCCCAGGCTGTGGAGCTGAAAGTTTGCTGGTGCGACGAGGCTCGCAGCGCAGTGGATCTAAGTTAGGGGCGGTTTAGGGTTTAGGGTTTAGGGGGCTTAGTAAGTAAAACAGGGTTCCTTTAAAGGAGATCTACGACAGGGTTCTATAAAGGCACTGGGGTACTTCTCTAAATTGTTTAGGGTTTAGGGTTTAGGGTTTAGGGGTTTAGGGGTTTAGGGGTTTAGGGGTTTAGGGGTTTAGGGGTTTAGGGTTTAGGGCTTAGGGGAATTAGGGTCGCTTTTAGGGTCCTTTTTCATGAGCGTGCCGTGCTAAATTGGGGACCCCAAAAAGGGACCCTAATTTCGAGACATACCCACTGGTTTGCCGGCAGTCCTTGTATGTGAAGGGTTGATTTAGGCTCGTTTTGGGGGCGTTTGGGGTTTAGGGTGTTTGGGCCTGAGGTCTTGCTTTAGGGCTTGTAGGGCTAAGGCCAGGCCAATTGTTTCTGAAGGAAGGCGAAATTGGGTTTAGGGTTTAGGGTTTGAACTATATATACCCTGAACCATATTCTAATTATTCAGGCCCCTATATTGCCTGCCAGGCGCCATGCCCGTTCGACTCTTACTTCAAGGTGGAAGCCATGTACATCAGCGTCCAGGCCATAAGCCTACTGGGCTCTTGTCAAGGAGTTGAGTTTCAGTTGCTATAATATAGACTTATAGCTTAGTGACAATATGGTTTCGTGATTATGGCAAATTCAAGAACCTTAAACCCCGAAGCCTCAAAACCCTAAGCCCATAACCCAGAAACCCTCAACCTTCAAACACAAAAACCCTAAACCCCCAAACCCTAAAACCCCTAAATCCCTAAACCCTAAACCCTAAACCCTAAACCCTAAACCCTAAACCCCTAAACCCTAAACCCTAAACCCTTAACCCCTAAAGAAGACTATTTCCATGGAGTGGGCCGGGGGCGACTCTCCGATCCGAGAAGCTGGGCCTCACTTTAGGTACCTGTAACGGGAGCTGAAACGGTTCCTATACTGGAATCTAAAATAGCCACGGTTTAGGGTTTAGGGTTTAGGGTTTACTGGAATCTATACATGCGTTGTTCTCTAAATTAGGGTCCCTTTTAGGGTCCATTTTATAAGGGTGCCGTACTATGTTGGGGAGCTAAAGCGGGACCCTAATTTAGAGAACTGCCCACGTCTTACTTGGAGGTTCATGGGTAGGTATAAGTGGAGTTATAAGTAGGGTAACTATGGTTACAACCCATACTAGGGGACTTAGAGCCCCACTTATTACTACCCATGACCCTCCAAGTAATGGGTTCTATACGGGTTTAGGGGTTTGGGATTCCTTTCACAGGCGCCAACAACGGCTCTTTGAGGACAGGGCTCGACAAGGTTGGTTGGTTGGCTGGTTCCGTGAAAGGAACCCAAGTTATCACAGGGCTCTGTTAGAGGGTTCCGTAAGTTTAGATTTAGAGGGAGGGTTGAAGGTTTTAGGGCTTATGGGTTTAGGGTACCCAGATCTTCCAAAATCCCTGAATTAGTCAGAGACCCTAAGCCCTAAACCCTAAACCCTAGAATCTATAATGGTTCTGCAAGGGTTTCGGAGTTTAGGGTTCCTTTAAAGGCCGAGATCTTCCAAAATCCTTCTACCAAGGAGTATATACTTTAAATCATATTAATAATAGATCCTATTGCAATTTAAGGTATACTTCTGAATTTGGGGATATAGGAAGAAGTGGGTAATCTGAAGCCTAAACCATGAACCCCAAACTCTAGACTCTAAACCCCCAACCTTAAAACCGAAACGCTGCACCCGAACCCTTTAACCCGAAACTGCAAGCCCTAAACCTGACTTAAACCCAAAACGCTGAGGTTTCGGGCTAATAGGGTTTAGGGTTTATAGCGTTTAGGGTTTAGGGCTTATAGGGTTTAGGGTTTAGGCCCTTACACCGACACCCTAAGCCATAAACCCGAAACCCTACACCTTCAAGCATTCAATCATCTCTTGGCGTTCTTTTGCTTGGCTCTTAGGACTTTAACTTTTGGGGTTTCTATATGAACCATAATAAGGGGGCTAAAGTTTAGCCCTACCCATGTAGCCCTAAACCCTAAACCCTAAACCCTAGACCCTAACCCTAAACCCTAAACCCTAAACCCTAAACCTTACACCTCCAAACAGTCAATCATCTCATTGTTAGCCCAGGGCCCGGTGGAGAAGACTCAGGCGCGCAATAGAGGGGCCTCACTCATTACCTCCCGGTTTAGGGTTTAGGGTTTAGGGTTTAGGGTTTAGGGCTACTTGAGTAGTTGTCTAAATTAGGGTCCCTTTTCTAAGTCCCAATATAGTACGGCACCCTTATAGAATGGACCCTAAAAGGGACCCTAATTTCGAGAACTACCCACGTTCTTTTTTTTTTGGGGGTGGGGTGGGGTTCCTATAGAGGCCTACCCTAAACCCTAAACCCCTAAACCCTAAACCCTAAACCCTAAACCCTAAACCCCTAAACCCCTAAGCCCCAAGAAAGGGAGATATACACCATCCCAGGGGCTATAGGGTCCTCAATAATTACCCTGAACCCTAAACCCTAAACCCTAAACCCTAAACCCTAAACCCTAGGGCTTCCTTCTTACACTTCTACTATGAAGGATCCCAAAAACCCTATTCTAGTTATGAAGGCCCCTATATCGGTCGCTTCCCGACCGAAGTTCGGACCGAGGTTGCCCTCAGAATAACGTGGGGGCCTGGATTGTCTTAAATAGGGTTTCGGGGGACACTGTTGATGATACAAATCCTGCATTACCTTAAGGACCCGTCTAGGGTTTAGGGGCTTAGGGGTTTAGGGTTTAGGGAATTATGGTATATTCCCTAGCATGGGTAATGCAGGATTGATATCATCAACCGTAATTATTAGACTATGGTTATATTAGAGGCTGTAAGGGGAAAGGAAGATAATGTAGGGGCCTGGGTAATTCGAATATGGTGTTGAGGGGGTGTTATCTATGGCAACATGAAGGGCCTACAACGGAATACTTACTATTGGTAGTTATTCCGACCCCATATGTACAGGAATACACATATCGGTTAATGAAGGATCCCTTCTTTAAGGGATTCTTACTACATTGATAGGGGGTTTAGTGTTTAGGGTATGGGTCCCTGATGAACTGCTATAGACTCCTTAGAACCTGAGCTGAGATACTACAGGAGCCGGAACGTCCCGAGAGGTATCATATAAGAGCTCTGTAAGGGTTTCGGGCTACTTATAAGGGAGTCGAAAAGGGTTCTATCACGGTTTAGGGGTTTAGGGCTCCTGAAGAATGTACGGTACGATATACCCCAAGGTTTAGGGTTTAGGGTTTAAGGGAATCTACTTATGGTACGATACACCCTTTAGTCTAATTACCTAACCCCTAAACCCTAAACCCTAAACCCTAAACCCTAAACCCTAAGGCCCTTAGACTACCTGCAGGTCGTGGAGTACGGACAACCTTTCGACTTGCTCGTGGAAGGCTCGGCGCAGCATTTCCTGCAGGAGTCCTGGGGTTTGGGGTTTCTAGGGTTTCTAGGGTTTCTAGGGTTTCTAGGGTTTCTAGGGTTTCTAGGGTGTCTAGGGTGTCTAGGGTTTCTAGGGTTTAGGGTTTAGGGTTTCTAGGGTTTCTAGGGCTTCTAGGGTTTAGGGTCTAGGGTCCTAACTACCCATAGGCCCCAGAGTAGTTCCTTTGTGTGGCTAATATTTAGGATCCTACTAGGGTTTAGGGTCTAGGGTAATAGTAGTTCCTTTTTGTGGCTTATCTTTAGGATCCTAGTAGGGAATCCCAAAAAGGAGCTACTATGGGGCCTATGGGTAACAAGAGCCCACCGGCCCTCAATCTCAGGCACCCTGAACCCTAAACTCTCTAGGACTTTATGCTATGATGCGGCCCTAGCGGTTTAGGGTTTAGGGTTTAGGGTTTAGGGTTTAGGGTTTAGGGTTTAGGGTTTGCCTCTTGGGCTCTCTCGGTAACTCTCTTTGTAACTTCGTGGGGGGTTGTTCTATGTCGGGCTCGTTCCTAAACCCTAAACCCTAAACCTCCAAACCCTACATGGCAAACCCCTCAACCCCCGTACCCCTAAAAGCCCCGAAATCCTACAAAGCCTAAACCCCGAAGCCCAAAAGCAACCCTACTTGAAATCCTAAACCCCTCAACCCTAAACCCCAAACCCTATACCCCTAAACCCTAACCCCTAAGCCCCGAAGCAACGCTACTTGGTGGAATTTCGTGTCTTTCCCGCAGGCTCTGGCGGTTTCAAAGCTGCTGACCGCGTCAGGCCTTTGGGGATCCCTCTCGCCTTAGGGTCCGACCCTAAACCGTTTATGGTTTAGGCTGTAGGGTTTAGTTTAGGGTTTGGGTTTAGGGTTTAGGGTTTGGGGTTTGGGGTTTGGGGTTTGGGGTTTGGGGTTTGGGGTTTGGGGTTTGGAGTTTGGGGTTTGGGGTTTGGGGTTTAGGGCTTGGAGCAGGGAGTATCGGGACTACTATGAGGGTATGTCAAGGAAGCACTCACCACAAGGCATCCACGCTAGCACCTCTCCTTAAGCACCAGGAAGGGGGGTTCGTAAAGATGGACCTACCCATAATATCCATTGTAGTTTCTTTTTTTTGGGCTTACCCTATGGGTAGCTCTCTGAATTAGGTCCCCTTTTAGGTCCCCAATATAGTACGGCGCTCTTATGAAAAGGGCCCTAAAAAGGGCCTTAATTTAGAGAACTACCCTTCTAGGATCCTAAGCGTAAAGTTGCCCAACCGAACAAGGCCCAAAACCTTACACCCTAAACCCTAATTGAGACAAAAAGGAATTACAAAGGAGACTGTATCAGGCCAAACTGGGAAGACTCCAGGCGCTCATTAGGGTTTAGGTTGGGGTTTCGGAGGGTTTAGGGGCTGACAGCGCAGTTCTCCAACAAATTGAACTTTGGGGGTTCTTATAGGTGCAAAAGAATTGAATTTTGGGGTTCTTATAGGTGTACTTTGCAAGTTTGCGGGGTTATTTCTTTGGCTTATTCGGGCAGGAAGGCTTACGATTTTCAAGCAGAGGTTAGGCCCTAAACCCTAAACCCTAAACCCCTAAACCCCACTAGCGGCACTCAATATAGAGCCCAACAATGTGTGGCATCATCGCGAGGATGCAGAGTGCTGACACGCGCGACACCCAGAAATTTCGTTTTGGATTTCGCTGAATTTTGAGTTTTGGGGGCTGTGTTTTAGGTTCGGGTGCACCCTTCTCCTCATACTTCGACCGTTGGAGGTCCCCGCTTCTCCATGGCCCCGAGTTTGGGGCTTATATAGGGTTTACGGGATTCGGATTCAAAGTTTTAGGTGAATTTTGAGTTTGGGGCTTATATAGGGTTTACGGGATTCGGATTCAAAGTTTTAGGGGTTTCTAGACTGTTGGGGTGTCTATGGGAAGTGTAGTTTATAAGGCTTAGGGTTCGGGGTTGTAATGCCCATTTACTCAGTCTGGATGTGGCGGTCTTCAAAGGCATGGCAAGTGTAGGGGGTCTAGGGTTTGAGTTCGGTCGGGTGTCGGGTCTAGTCGTATGGAATATACCTTAGCAATCATGATAAAGCTGCCACCCCCATAGCGGTGTTTTACGGTGCAGCTCCCTTTGGGGTGTCCTCTCTCACCGCCAGCTAAAACAACCCTAAACCCTAAACCCTCAACTCCAGGCGCTCAAAAGACACCCTCAACTCCTCACTCTAAACCCTAAACCTAAAACTCTAAACTCCTAAACTCTAAACCCGAAGTCCTAAACTCCAAAGCCCTAAATTCCCCAAGGCCCAGTCTCCCAACTCCCTACTCAGACCCCCAACTGGATCTAAAAAATAGATCCCCTAAGGGGGTCCTATAAAGTACCCTTTAGTAGTTATGGTCACCCTAAACCCTAAACCCTAAACCCTAAGCCCTAAACCCTAGGGTCCCTAATTAGGGGATCTATTTTTTAGATCCTTTTGGGGGTCTGGGTAAGCCCACCTACCAGGCCTTGCTTCGAGGAGAACTTGCGCGTGGTGGGGACCGTGGACTTTTCCTTGGCTTAAGATAGGGTTTAGGGTTTAGGGTTTAGGGTTTAGAGCTGAGGAGTCGAGGGTTTAGGGGTTTAGGGTTTGGGGTTTAGGGGTTTAGGGTTTAGGTTTTAGGGTTGGGGCCTTAGTAATTACCTATACTATGCCTGAGGGTTCCTTGTTATAGTTATACGAAGAGTGTAATATTGGGGCCTTAAGAATTACCTATACTATTTTGAGGGTCCTTAGTGTAATTATAGCATAAAGGAGCCCAAAACCCTATTCCATCTAACGGTTAAGGCCCCTATAGTAGAGTTTCAAGTTGTAAGTTTGCAAGACCCTAAACCCTAAACCCTAAACCCTAAACCCTAAACCGACTTGGGCTCAGGGTTTAGGGTTACAAGGTTGAAGTTTCGAAGACTTGGGCTCAGGGATTAGGGGTATAGGGTTGAAGTTTTTTGAAGACTTGGATCTAGGATTTAGGGCTCTTAGTTTGGGTTTAGGGTTTAGGGTTTAGGGTTTAGGGTTTAGGGTTTAGGCTCTTAGGGTTAAGCGTTACTAAGCTATACAGACCTGGGCTCAGGGTTTAGGGACATTTAGGGCTTTAAAGTCTTTGGGCTTAGTTTTAAGGGTCTGGGACTCGGGTTTGGGGTTTAGGGACATTTAGGGTTTTAAAGTCTTTGGGCTTAGTTTTAAGGGTCTGGGACTCGGGTTTGGGGTTTGGTGACATTTAGGGTTTTAAAGTCTTTGGATTTAGTTTTAGGGTCTGGCACTCGGGTTTGGGGTTTAGGTGTTGTAATAGGTTTTGACTGTCGGGTTTTCGTAGTATAGACGCAAGGGTGGTCAACAGGTTTCTGGCTTTGCGCCCAGGGGGGCTTAGAGTTGACATGGTCTGTTCTTCCAGCGTTGCTTTTGTGAGTGTTGGTCTTGGTCCCACAACATTTTCAGACGTGCTTCGGGCATTTCAACAGTGGCTATCGTGGAGTTGCATCATGGGTTTGCGAGACATTTTCATTGAGGGTTGGGATCTTCGGGTAGGGATTTCAGGAGTAGTGGGAGTGTGCAGTGAACTTTTCAAGGTTGCAAAGACAGAATGGCCTGAACCCTAAACCTAAACCCAAAACCCTCAACCCTAAACCCTAAACCCTAAACCCTAAACCCTAAACCCTAAACCCTCAAACCTAAACCCTAATAAGGGCGGGCTTGACAGTTGTCTCGGAGGGTTTCACGGTCCTACCTAGGCTCCACCGAGTCTCACTGAGGTCGGTTTCATGGGGTTCCGAAGGGCTTCGAAGAGTTTAGTATGGGGGCCTAAATAAGTACCATTTTTTTTTTTTGTTGGGGGGGGGTCCTTGTTATCAGTATAGAAAAGGGGCCCCAAAACCCTATTCTAATTATTAAGGCCCCGACATTAAAGTGGTTCAGTCGTGCTTTGCTGTAGGTCTCTTTGGAGTGTTTGTACTTCGGGGTTGTAGGTCAGGGTTAAGCAGTATGTTGTTTCGTTTGACTTCGGAGTGGGGACCCTTAACCCCAAACCCTCAACTTGCCACGGTTTAGGGTTTAGGGTTTAGGGTTTAGGGTTTAGGCCAACCCGTAAATGATGCTATCCTTATTGCAAAACAAAAACTCCTTTCCTTCGTTTTGTTTAGGCGCTCAACTGCAAGGCCGCACCCTGGATCATGCTTGTCACAGTGACCACCATAAAAAGCACCGTACTGACCTAGACGAAGAAACACCATATCCCAATGCCCTCCGACCTTAATCATACCCTCGTCCCTCAAGCTTAACCTTCATAGAGACCTCAGTAACCCCGAACCCAAAACCCAAAACCCAAAACCCTAGCCTTTACAGAGACCTCAGGAAGTCATATGGATAGTTCTTTAAATTAGGGTCCCATTTGGGGTCCTTTTTATAAGGGTGCCGTACTATATTGGGGACCCAAAAAGGGACCCTAATTTAGAAAACTACCCATTCGTATTTCCTCTTCTTCTTCGGACGTCAGTGCCGCGAGCGGCGCGTCCCGTTAGTCTTAGTGTTACTTCTTGGGAGTCTGCATACCCAGAGACTCCAATACCCCTTAATTAAGGAATAGACTTTAAATCTTATTAGGGATCCTACGAGTCCTACTATAATTTCAGGTATATTCCTCAATTAAGGAGTATTGGAGTCTCTGGGTACCTTTGAGGGTTTAGGATTCAGGCTTTCAGAGTTCAGGCTTTTGAGCGTCCTCAGAATGTCGGGTTTCGGTTTAGGGTTTAGAGCATTGGGGTTTAGGGTTTAGGGTTTAGGGTTTAGGGTTTAGAGCAGAGCCGGGGTTCAAAAGAGCAGAGGGATCCGGTTACATACGGTTATGTGGCGATTTCACATCAGGTCCGACAGAGTCTGTATGGAGAGCCTGTTTTGCAACATAAAGCTGTCGATCGAACAGCGTTGTCTCCTTAACACCATTATGTCGAACCAGTCGAAGATCTCTGACAAAACACCTTGTACCCTAAAGCCCTAAACTCACAAATAACCTAACGCTAAACCCCAAACCCTTTAGGCCCTAAGCCCAACACCCTAAAGCCCTAAAGTCACAAAGCACCACAACCTTACCGTTAACCCTAAACCCTAAACCCCAAACCCTAAACCCTAAACCCCAAACCCCCAAAAATGCCCTAATGCTCCAATGCTCAGAGTCCCCTCAGCAGGGAAGACGGTCGAGGGTTTGGGGTGTAAGTTGTAAGTTTAGGCTTTGGGTGCAGGGCCTGGGTTTTACAGTGTTGAGGGTTGTTTTATATTAGAAGCCAGAAAGTTGGAACATGATTGTCCTCACGCCCCTTAAGGTAAAGCACAAGGGATCCTAGCACTAATCCTCCCAAACCCATGTTCCAACTTTCTGGGATTTGCTGTGGGGTGTGGGGTTTACTGGGGTTTATGTTTTAAGACTCCCAAGAGCTGTTTTGGCTCAAGCCCTGGTTATTTATAGGGTTGCTTGAGGGTTTACTACGGTGTAGTCTTGCAGTACGGACCCCGGGTCGCGCAGGACTGTCGCAACTCAAATTCGTCACCCCTTTACATCCTGCACCCCATGTAAGCATTCATGTATGCAGGGATTCTAGACGTGATTTCAATTTTCAGGTGTTTCCGTGCTTACACGGGACCCATGAACCACGCACCCCAATCTAACATCCTGGACCTTAACTCCAAAAGCCGCTACTGTTCTGTGTTTTTGCAGGCCACGCACTCTTCCACATGATCGACAATGGGGACGGCCAGGTGCGGGCTCAGGATTCGTCAGGGTCTATTAAGGATCAGTTTAGTCATTGTAGCAGCGATGCGCCGCAACGATTTCGCTGCCGCGGTTTCGATATATGGCCCAACATAATATATCGGCTTTGTCGGTTGCTTTAGAGCCAAGGCTTCATGAATATCCGTCCTTTATCCTACGGAAACATGGTGCCGGCGGACTGGTACGGCGAACCTGCACAGCTTGCGAAGAGCTCGTCTTGAGTTCAGGTTTTTTTGACGTCTGCACAACTAGCCGGAATGATATTTTTTGGTAGGCTTTCAACTGACAACACGTGTCATATACCCCAAGCTTTGTTCAAGGAGTCCCCTCATGCTTTTTCCGGTTGGCTCACGGATTCCGGTCCTGGGCAGTGTGCCATGGGCGCGGAACTTAGTTCGAGAAAACCCTGTAACCCTGCTTGCTAAACCTTCAACTTATACCCTAAACTTTGAACCCTAAACCCTAAACTTAAACCCCAAACTTCTAGGCCTAGGCCTAAAAAGTCTTTGACCCGTAGCCTCCTGAACCCCACCCAGGCATCAGACCGTCCAAAAGCCCAGCCCTCCGAACTATGAACCCCCAATTCCTCCAGCAGTGTAGGGTTTAGGGTCTCGGGTTTCGGGTGTAGGGCTTGCGTCGCGTTTTCTAAACCCTAAACCCTAAACCCCTAAACCCTAAACCCTAAACCCTAAACCCTAAACCCTAAACCCTAAACCCTAAACCCCGGGTTTAGGGTCTATGGTGTGGGTTCAGGGAAGCCCCCCCGAAGGTCACGCTGGACGAGTTTATTGATGGAATTTTACGCTGCCGGGGGCCGGCAGCGTGGTTGCACAGAGGGTCTTAAGGTCAACGTTTAGGGTTTAGGGTTTAGGGTTTAGGGTTTAGGATGGTCTTACAGCGGTTCATAAGGTACGTATAAGGTGTGTTGAGCTTTGCTTTGTTAGGGTTCTCGGGTGTGGTTTTGACATCAGCACCGATCAGCAGCGCGACTGATAATATTCCAACACGGTTGGCGTGACTTTTGGGGCCTGTAGAGTTTATGGTTTAGGGTTATAGGGGGGTTATAGGATGTATAGTGCTACTATTGGGTTCTACAGGGGTTACTAGATGGGCGTGCCTGCACGATGAACGTGCAAGCAGGGTGCGCGTATTCCGCTCCCTTGAACCACGGTCCGTTGTAGCTCACTGTATCCTACGATCTAGATTGCTTCAGCCGTTCTTGCCCCACAACTGTATGCGAGTTCGGCACTGCTTGATGACGATGAGGTGGTCTCGCACTATAATTGCTCCAGCATGTAGTCTTACGCCGTTGCGCGCTTTGACGAACCAGCTGACCATAAGAATGGTCTTCGCGGCGAGATGAGCTTGTTGGGATGCAGGCATTGAGTCATGCGTTTGCACTATCAGGCTCGGGTTACCCTGTCAAGCCTACAACTAACGCGAGCAATTCTTGAGGGCAGTGGTGGCTGTTGTTGGGAGCTCCGCATTCGGTTAGGCAGAAATTGGGTTGGGACTGGCTCGGGAGGAGGCGTTGAACCAGAAAACGGGCTTTGCAAGGCCCCGCAAAGAAGCGGTGTCGGGTTTGTTAGGACAGCACTTACCCTGGCTTAAACGTCTAAACCCCATAAGGTCAACGATGTAAAGTTTTTCGAGTCTAGAGTGCGCGAACCCGAAGACTCCGAGAACAGCGCAAGAAACTCAAGCCTAAACCTCAACCCGAGATCCGCCGAAACTC